AGAGAGAGAGATGGGGCCAAGAAGATGGCTCAGTAGAATAAGCGCTTCCCTGGCAAGCGCAAGGGTCTGAGTTCAGTCCCTGGTTCCACAAAAAAAAGAGAACATGAGATTCCTATCAGCCATTACAAAAAAGAAAATTAATTTAGGATTTTATAATATGGATCCTTGTGCTATAAAGATTTTTTTTATTTTTACTTTCAGTTTTTAAATTGCTTATTGGTGCATTTTAGATATATATTACAATCACATTCATCATAGGAATTTGTATCGGTACACATCTTGACTCTTTTTAAGTTTCCCTCCTCTGCCTTCAACTCTTCTTTCCCTCCCTATTTACAAAAGCTTAGTTTCCATTTTTTCCTTCACTCACTTTTTTCTTTTCCCTTCCTTTTCCTCCTCCCCCTTCCCTAGTTCTCCTTCCCACTTCAATACGTTCTTCCTATTCCAGTGTCTATTACATTTTTGGTCCTTACACCTTTGGGTTCTCATACCAGAGACACTATAGTGGTATTTACATGTGTGTGCAATTTGTGTCACTTAAAGGGTATGACCTTACTACATCTGTAATCCTAGCACTTTGGGAGGGATCATTTAAGAGTTCGAAGCCAGTCTGGGCTACAAAGTATGAAGGCCAGCTTGAGCTACATAGAGATCCTCTCTCAAAGACAAAAAGTATGGCCTCAATGGGCATCCATTTACCTAAAAACATCTCGACAGTAGCCTCCTTTATGGCTGAATGGTACTCCACTGTATACAAATACTACATTTTTCCTTATCAGTTCTCAGTTGATGGACCTCTGGGCTAGTTCCACAATTTAGCTATTACATATTACAAAGCATGCTGCTATAAACATGGGTGTGGGCCAGGCATGGGCTCGCCCACCTGTAATCCCTAATCCCAGCACTCAGGAGGCTGAGGCAGGAGGATTGCTGCAAGGTTGAGATCAGCCTAGGTACAAAGTGAGCTCTAGGCCAACCTGAACCACATAGTGAGATGTCTCAAAGACAAAAATTTTTAAAAAATCAAGTTATATCAGGTATAGGTACACACTCTCTATGATGACTGTGATCATTATGTGTAGATAAAATGTACCAATAAAATCTGATTGAAGGGGGGAAAAAACTCCTAGGTATTTTCCCAAGAGTTACACATATTAGAGTAAGACACTTATACTCATGTTTATAGCAAAACAACTCATAATAGCTCATACTTTGTGTGTGTGTGTGTGTGTGTTATGGAGTACTATTCAGCCATAAAGGATAAGTCATTTGTAGGAAAAATCGATGCACTTTGAGACCACAATGCCAAGTCAAATTAGTTAAGACACAGAAGATTGAAACACTGCGTGGTTTCTGAGAAATCCAAAGTATAAATAAAGAACAAAATAAAAGATATAGGAAGGGAACCAAGAGATTGGGGGAAGGAAGAAAAACAAATATAATTAAAATGTGTTATTTATGTGACCCAACACCTCATAATGGGTGTGATTATTATGTACTATAAGTATGTACCCACCAAAAAATTTAAATTTAATTTTTAAATAATTTCTTTTTGGTACTAGAAATTGAATTTAGGACCTTCTACTTGCCAGGCATGTGCTTGTACCACTGAGCTATATCCTCGCCCTAAACTAAGTACTAGAGGGGAAGATTATTCAAAATAAATTCCTAAGTGAAGAAAGCTTGTTTTACCTTTTGGGAAAAGTATATAAATGCACATAAGACATAAAACAAATGTGGGAGGTCATAAATAAAAATATGAAAAGTTTATCCTGGGTTATGAGATTCAAACCCAGGTTCTCTGACCCCAGCACTATCTTTAACTTCTGTATGACTGTGTGAGCATATATAAATTCACACACATGTGTATATTTCCTATGCAAATACCTCTTTTAAATGACTACACAGCACAGACTGACCCTGGATTCAGGAGAAAAGCTACTCTGCCCAAGGAGCCATGAACTCAAGATTCTGCCTACCTGGTCTACATTGCTAAAGTGTTTCATTTAAGAGTGAGTTCTGCAACCACCAGTTGATGACCTATAGCACCCACTGAGTTGGCATGTCCATGACCATTAGTTCCCAACAATCGGCCAGGCATGGAGGTGCATGTCTATAATCCCCAAATTCTTAGAGGCTGAGGCTGTAAGATCACAAGTTTGAGGGCAGCCTAGGCTCCATGAGTTCAAGTCCAGCCTGAACCACATACTTAATGTAAGATCCTGACTCAAAACAAACAAAAAAGGGCTAAACTGGGCATGGTGTGCACTACTATAGTCCAAGCACAAGTGAAGGCTGAGCGGAGAAGACATTCCATGAATAACTTCAAGTTTGGACTATTTAAGGAGTTCAAGGCCAGCCTAAACTACACAGGGAGATCCAGTCTCAAAAAACCAAAACAAAGGGCTGTGGATGTAGTTTGGTGGGAAGGGTCCTGACTCCCAGCTTCAGTATATCCCATAAAACCAACCAACCCAAGACACACTGGAAAAGGTCTAATTTCTGCACCTTAGGAGGAGAAAAGGAAGAAATCTCCATAGTCAACATCTTGATGTTCAGTGAAAACTTTAGAATATCTATGCAATCAAAAGGCTAATGATTAAATCAGAAACATGGAAACTAACCTATTAGTACCCATGCTGGGCTTAACTAAGATCAATCAGAAAGTTAAGCTGTTCCCCTACACCCTCCCAACCACCACCAAAAGGCTTCAGTTCCTGGTGTGCTGCATTATGTAGAGGCTGGAAAGACTAAAACGAGAAAACACTGTACATATTTTTCACAAAATCATAGGAAAAAGACTGAACAACAGGGTTCAAAGAAAACCTATAAATGAAATGTATCCTTGTGCCCTAACTCTTGTTACAGTGTGGTACTACTTCCTCCCTAGGTCAAAGCTACAGACAGCAGCTTGCAAGCTGCCTCAGGAATGTTATTGCTTGGTTGCAAATGGCAACAGCCCTTGCAAAATCATTTGCATTATAATCAGTAGCTCTCTAATCTAGAAGGAAGCTATCTATTAGAGACTTTTTTTTAAAGGCAAGGTCTCCCCTTGCAGACCAGCCTAGCCTTAAACTTGAACCAATCCTCCTGCCTCAGGCTAGGGCTGGTATTACAGATCTGAGCCACCAGGACCTGCCTATCCTTTAGGGATGAATACAAATTGTCAACTGGGTGTGAAAAAGATAAGGAGTTACACTTGCAAAGTGGTTTAAAGAAGCAAAAGGTTGGTCTGGGGTAGTGGCACATGCCTGTAACCAAAGCACTCCTCAGGCCAACAAAGGAGGATCAGGGACTTGAGGACCAGTCTGGGCTACAAAATGAGCTCAAGACCAGCCTAGGCTGCATACCCTGTTGTCTCAAAGACTTTTTTAAAAAGAGAAGAAAAAAACTGGGCTTGGTGGCACACGCCTGCAATCGCAGCATTCAGGGAGGCCCAGGCAGGAGGATCGTTGCAAAAATGAGACCAGCGTGGGCTACAAAGTGAGCTCAAGGCCAGCCTGAACTTCACTGAGACCCTGTCTGAAAAAGGCAAAAACCAAAACACATTTGGTATAGCTCTGCGGTACAGCGCCTGCCCCGCAAGTGCGGGTCATGAGTTCCCAAGTTCCACTCCTGGTACCCTCCCCCGCAAAAAGTTTGAAGTCATTTTACCTAATTTTGCTGATCATTGGGTGAAAACCTAGCCCTATCAGATGCAGGTTTATGGGCAAAGCAATGATGATTTTGATAAGGTAACAAAAGCATCTATCTGAATCAGAAGATCCTGCACTGCGCCGGGAGTACAGCTTACCAGCAGAGCGCTGGCCTGGTAAGTGCGAGGTCGGTAAGTGCGGCTCAGAAAAAAAATTTTTTTTTCTGCACTTAGTTGGAAGAAGCATCGACAGAAGTAGGTAATGGAGCCATTTACCTAACATGGTCTAATGGAGCTTTTGGAGGGCGGAGTGGGGAGGTTTTACTGGCAAGGCAGTGAAAAACATTCAATTTGCAATGCACCACTTATTCTGTCTCATCCTCACCATTGGTGGGAATACTAGCTTGTGCCACCACGCCAGGCTTGGAAACAAAATTTAAAGGATCGAGGTGTATAGATCAGTGCAAAAGCCCTATATTTTAAATCTACAGAACACAAAATAATATTTTAAAACATTCATGTAAAAATTCCCCCCCACACACACACACACACTGCAGTGAGAGAAATGCGTAAATTCAGAAGCGGCTGTCACTAAAAAATAGCCTGATGTGTTATCCCCACCAGTAGCTGCACTGGGGAAATGTCAGAAGATTCATTTCCAGAACTAAGTTCCGTACGATTTGGAGAATGATTCAAACTGGGTGTCAAGGACGCAAGGTAAATACATCACTTTATCCAATCAACTAGATTTAACGTAAGGAAGGCGCCAATTACGTAGCAGAAGATTCTGACGACGCAAAAAGCCTACGCCAGCCAATTTGAGGGAAGTTGTCAAGCAGTATTTTCGCGCCCTTAGCAGGTAACATCAATTTCTCTTAAAACCAAACGGTACCAATAATACTTCGAATTGAAAAACGGCATCTTCAACTTTAGAAGACTAGGGCTCTGAACGCAGTAACGTTCCCCGATGCACAGAGGCCAGGAGCTGGAGCGACCCAGTCCAGCCTAGCAGCTCCAAGACAAAGCCACGTGTCTCCAAGTCTCAGGCTAAGCATCCGTCCCCTCCCGTCGCTGTGGGCAGCCACCATCCCCGCATCAGGTCTCCCATACGTCCCCGACCAGCTTCGCCTGCTGCTCCATCTTGATTCCACCCCACGCGCGGGGAGGATTACCGTGACCCTCCGGAGAGAGGTAAAATAACGGAAAGAGCCCGCGGGGCACCTCCGCAACGCTGCCCCTTTCTCCCTCTCCTCGGTGCCCGCAACTCACGCGGGTCTCAGTCCCCCGACCCCCACCGCCCGGCCAGGTGAGCATGGCTCAGGTCCCAACTTCGCCCTTACCACGTCTCTTGGTTGCTAAATTTCTTAGTCACCACCTTGCCCAGCTCCAGGCCTAGGCGGTCCGCAATCTTCTGGGATAAATCCTGGTGGGAGCTGCCGCTGAAAATTTTGATATTCGGCATCTTGGGCAACGACCCTAGGCGCTCTTCTCTCAGCGATCCCTGCTGCCGTGGAGACGGGAACCTAAGTCGACCCAGTAAGTCACTCACACCGACCGCTCGATGTTACGATTCCGCCATCTTACATTCCCGCCCGGCACCCCGCTCTAAATTACCTATCGCTGAAGGCGGGCTCAGCGCGAAGGCCACACCTCCGCCGGCTCCGATTTGCTGAGCCGGAGTGGGGGCGGAGCCTCACCCCTGCGTCACCCTCCCTCAGGCTCTCTCCGGTACTGGCTCCAGAGTGCCAAGTGCCAAGAGAGGAAGAAACAGCCCCGCCCCCTGGTCGCTGGGCGGGGCGCAGGGCTAGGAGCCGGGTTGGAGACGTTAACCCGTGGGCGAGAGGATGTGGGTGGAGGGTGTGGGTGACGCCTGGGGAGAGCGCTTCCCCCTAAATGGCGTGCTTGCGTTTTGTGTTTTTCTTCTTCAGCGAAAAAAACCTGAGACTGGCTCTGGTTTATAGTTTCCCTTAATAAAAATCTAGATGACAGTTACGAGAAGGTCCAAGTGTCTGAAGGAGATCCTTATCTCTTTATAAGGATCGGGCGCGACGAAGACGTTTTTACCGCACGGAGACACTCAGAACCCTGCGGTGGCCAGAGATTCTGTACCCTTCAGATAGCACAGGGCCGTCTTTGCCTGGAAGACCAATTCCAGGAGAAAACTGACTCAAGGGAGGCTACCTGAGTCATCTACAGACACTAGGAGGAAAAATTGTGCTTTGTTTTTAATGCCGGACCACGGACGTTCAAACAAATGAGAGAACGTGGATTTTCCAAAATGTCTGGGCAGTAAAGGTCTGAGTTTGGAAAAGAAAGAAAATACAGTATACTTCTGGGACTCCAGAAAGAGTCTCTTAGAAATCAGAAAACTTGGGTCTGGGGGTTTTTCTTGTTCTTGTTTTTTTTTTTTTTTTTTTTTTTTTTTTTAAGAAAACCTACTTTTTATTACCATGTGCCTGCCTTGATTGAGCTTCAGTGACATCGCTTGTACTGCTTACGTGGCTTTTTAAACAGTTTAAATTTTGATACAGGGGTGCTCTTGAATTTGTAGTTCTTTTGCTTCCAACACCCAAGTACAGTATATGCATTCGCTGCCATTCCTAGGTCACTAATGTGGCTTTTACCACTGTTTTATTGTTTTTATGAGACTTGATAATCGGACAATGGAGACCTTTATTCTTATACCATGTTTTCATTAAGTGTACTCCAGCCATGGACTAGAGAGAAAAGTTATAGAATTTTAGAATCAAAAGTGACTATATTCCCCTGCTGTGGTAGTGCATACCTGTAATCTCAGCACTTGGGGGGATCTCTGTGAATTTAAGGTCAACCTGGGCTACATAGTGAGACCCTATCTCAAAAAAAGGTGGCTATATGGCCTGGAGATGCAATTTGATGGTGAAACATTTGCTTGCAACTTGGGACGCCCTGGGACCAACCAATCTTGGGTAATTTTATTCAGTGGTTCTAAGGAGTGAACACAGAGGCTTCAACCTGAGCTACAACTCCAATTCTTTTTTATTTTTTTAATTTTGAGACGGGATCTCTCTTAATTACTAAATTGCCCAGGCTGCACTCAGCTTTGGGAGCCTCCTGCCTCAGCCTTCCAGAGTGCTGAGATGACAGGTGTGCACTCCCACGCCTGGTTTCACTTCTATTGTTATTGTTGGAGCCAGGTATGGTGGTGCATAGCTATAATCCCAACCCTTGGGAAGCTAAGGTAGAAAGATTGCCATGAGTTCATTCAAGGCTAGCCTGGGCTACATAATAAGTTCAAGTTCAGGTCCAGCTACAAAGCAAGACCCTGTCTCAAAAAAA